CTGCGATAGTTTGGAAAGCTTGTGTAGGGATAGCGAGTGCTTCGAAAAAGATGAGGTCGTTTCCAAGGCTGATAAAAATTAGCCGAAAGATTGGATATAACCAAAGCGCATAAAAGTGTTGAGAAAGCCATTGCTGAACTTTCGTAACTGAACTACGGTTCCAAGACACATATAATAGGTTGAGAACTCTGGAAACTTCAATAAAGGGTGCCTCAAAAAATCGTGGTTTCGAAGAAATGTATTCTTTACAATAACCTCTTGAAGCTCGGCTGTGTAGTTCACAGCTTCAAAGTCAACGAAACTTTGCAAAGGTTAAACTACGCGATGAGAAGGTTGTACGGTTCATCACGCGGCATGCGATCGACGCAGCTTTCCGAAAGCAGGCGAAATTGTTGTAGCGAAACAGTATTCTTTGTAAGATGTCGAAACTGTGCGAAACCTTAACACATGTGCCAAGCAAGGGCAGTCAAAAATGGGCCGACTCTTCCATGTAGTGTATTGCAGCCGTCGACTGCAGAACCGGGCCTAAAAAACGCACAAACTGAGGTACTGAACTATGCCACGGGGCTCTTGCCCACTAGACCGCTTAGCTGTTCACCAACCGTCTGGATAGCACCTCAAATGGGAAAACACGAAATCTAACATGTTTGTGAAACGACCTCAACCGATTTTATCTCCTTTCGAACTCCAGTACTTTTAACGAAAGGATTGATTAAACTCAACTGATGTTGGATGGAAAAGTAGATTGTAGTAGGTTACGAACGAAAACGTTGTGGGTCAAGATATGGACATTTGAATATCGGGACTAGAAAAGGCCGGGACCTTTCTGCAACCTAATAGTTGTTCAAGCGTCTCATCTCAAATAAGTTGTAAGACTAGGGTAACTAAGGTCTAGAGAAACATCGAAAAAGCTTAATGTGATTTATTCTTCAACTATCAGTCGACACTATTGACTCCGCTGATTTTATTGTTCGGATCAAATTTTCTTACGCAGATGTCTACGATCGCTATGCATTGTACTGACTGAAGGCTTTTGCCAATAAACTGGCCATGTGTAATAGTTACCATGTGGCCCTTGATACTTAAGGGTGGGTCAAAATTATATAATAGTAACCAATACATTACATCACCCAAAACGAATATTAGCCTAGTGAAACAAGTCGACCTGAAAAAAGTGTTGGCCACAAGTGTCACAAAGCTAAGTTAGGTAGAGTTTGAGATCTGTTGCCTACTGCATTGTTCAGGCCTTTGGATGAAGGAGTGTACGGTGGCACGCAGGTGGGACGCGTCAAGACGATTTCAAGATTCTTGTTGTGTCCTCTTTAGGGAATCAGGCTTTTTTTTAGGGTGTTAGCTTGCTCTTACCCAGGTTTAACATGCAAAAAATCCAGCTGAACTTGGTGGGGGATCCTATGTAGGTAGCATCAGTTAGGACCTGTGGGCGGGAAAATTTTCTTCCCCAGGATTTGGTCATCTGGCTAGGTGCCTGTGTTGAGGGTTAGGAGGGCGACCGCTCCCGAACCACGACAGGTTGTCTAAAGTGGAAGGAGGAGAAATGGAGATAAAAAGTTTGGGTGATTAACCACTGGACACTACAAACAAAGAAGGTCAGTTGGAGAATACATTCAGGACAGATAACCAGAGCAGGAGACATAAGCAGAGCGAGTTCGTAGGAAATAAAAACAAGTTAGCGGACTCAAACTTGGGTAATAAACCAAAGTTGCACAGGTGGCCTACAACAAGGAATTTGAAAGAAATTGGAAAGGAAGTTTTGCAAGATTGAGAAGAGTTATTGTTTTGGAATTTCTGCCACTTTCTGAATGATATTTAGGTAACGCGTCTCAATCTCAATACACTCTACACCAGAGTCAACCCTGCGTTGCGCAAATTCCAAAATTTTTACGACCCCCTTCCTTTTCGGAGGGTATCGGTACGACCCCCCCCCTTATTAACTATTATGTCTTTCACATAATTTAATGCTCATCATTGATGTGTGGGTCACCAACATGGAGAAGTGGTGGACCGTGGTCAATCCGCGCGCTCTGTCTCGCTCAGAGGAGGGAATCGAGGCAACATGAAGTTTTATTCATTAAATAGAAGGAATTTCCAAATTTTTGCGTAAACCAATACATCATTTTAATCGTAAAGATTTCTACTTTCAGAAACCCACCAAGTTTTTTCGATCTCTCAATTTTCCTTATTTTATAATCTGAAAAACTAAACCTTGTAGCAATTACATTGCAATCCAAACCCCTCCATTCAGAAGGTTATTTTTCTTCAGAAGCGGTCTCATGTGAATTATCTTATAACTATCAGTATACATATTGACTCCGCTGATTTTATTGTTCGGATCAAATTTTCTTACGCAGATGTCTACGATCGCTATGCATTGTACTGACTGAAGGCTTTTGCCAATAAACTGGCCATGTGTAATAGTTCATGTGGCCCTTGATATACAAGGGTGGGTCAAAATTATATAATAGTGACCAATACATTACATCACCCAAAACGAATATTAGCCTAGTGAAACAAGTCGACCTGAAAAAAGTGTTGGCCACAAGTGTCACAAAGCTAAGTTAGGTAGAGTTTGAGATCTGTTGCCTACTGCATTGTTCAGGCCTTTGGATGAAGGAGTGTACGGTGGCACGCAGGTGGGACGCGTCAAGACGATTTCAAGATTCTTGTTGTGTCCTCTTTAGGGAATCAGGCTTTTTTTAGGGTGTTAGCTTGCTCTTACCCAGGTTTAACATGCAAAAAATCCAGCTGAACTTGGTGGGGATCCTATGTA